AAGGTTAGTGGGAAATTTAAGGTTAGTGAAAGCTATTCTGCATTCGTTCGAATTAATTTCTGGTTTATGTATAAATTTTAGTAAAAGCCATTTGTATGGTTTTAATGTTGTTGAAGAGTGGATTAAGGGTGCTGCTGATATTTTGCATTGCAGAGTGGGTAAAGTGCCCTTTATTTATCTTGGTTTACCGGTTGGAGAGAATTCGGGGAGGAAAAGATTCTAGGAATCGGTGCTAGATCATTTTCAAATTAAGCTTGCCGCCTGGAAGAGCCCCTTATTGTCTTTTGGAGGTCAAATCACCTTAATCAACTCGGTACTTTCTACTTTTTCTATTTTTTGGTTTTTTTTTAATTTAAAATTCCTAAATGTGTGTGTGCTGAGATGATTAAAATCCAAAGAAACTTTTTTTGGGATGGTGCTTGTTTGGAGAGGAAAATTGCTTGGGTTAGTTGGGCTAATATTTGTATGAATAAAGAGTGAAGGGGTTTGGGTGTGGTTGATCTGGAGAGAAGGAATGGGGCATTGCTAGGTAAATGGTGGTTTCGGTTAGGGGATGGGAAGTAGGGATTGTGGAAGAGAGTGATTTGAGAAAAATATTATAGGGGTAGGATGGAGGCCAATATCCTTTCTTTTGATTGTTTGAATATGTCTAAGGTGTGGAAGGACATTGTGAGTATCGGGTATGAGTCTGATAGGTTGAATGTCATGTTAGCGAAGGGTTTTAAATGGGAAGTTGGGAATGGTAGTCGTGTGGATTTTTGGGGGGATAAGTGGGTCAAAGATAATTCATTGAAGAACTTATTTCCTAGGTTGTTTGAGTTAGCAATGGATAAGGAGGGGTTGATCAAGAATATGGGTTTTTGGAGTGGGGATGATTGGGTATGGGATTGTAGATGGCGTCGTAGTTGTATGCGGATAAGGGGGGGGAGGGCGACCAGTGAGGAAGATCATTTTCGAGACTTGATTAATGGTGTCAAGGTGAGGAAGGACAAAGCTGATTTTTAGGGATGGGTTCATAAGGGTGATGGTGCTTATTCTGTGAAAGATGCTTATGCTTTTTTAACACCTATGGATTGTATTCTGGATAAGAGGTGGTTGAGAGTTATTTGGTGTCAGTATGTTCCCTATAAATTGAGTATATTTTTGTGGAGGGTATTTTTAAATAAATTACCAACGAAGGGGAATTTATATTTGAGAGGAGTTTTGGTGGAGGGGGCAGTGGGCTGTAAGTTTTGTAATAAGGGAGTGGAGTGTCTTTCTCATATTTTTTTGTGAATGTAAAGGGGTATGGAGAGTATGGATGCAGGTTTTGAAATGGTGGGGTTGGCAAAGTGTTTTACCGAAGGACATATTTGGATTGGTAGATGCAGTGATGCAAGGTATAGGTGGGGGAAGGGGGAAAGATTTTGGTGCTTTTATATTCTTAGTTGTTGTTTGGTTTCTTTGGTATTAGAGGAATATAAGGGTGTTTGAGAATAATTTGTGGCATGAGGATTTGTTGTTAGAGTCCATTCAGATTAAATCTTTTGTATGGTTAAAGGATAAAGTGACAAGTTGTGAATTCACTTATCAAGACTGGATATTAAGACCTGTGAAATGTCAAGAAAGTCTGGTGCAACATCGCAACAATTTGAGAAGTTACAAGTTGTTGAATAGGATTAGGTGTTGATTTGCTTTTACATCTTTTTTTCTAGAACTATTTTTGTCAACTCTCGGTTTCCTTCTCAATATGAAACAGGTTTGCATCTAGTTTCAGGGACATAGAGTTGTATTGTCTTTAAGGAGTATTGCTTATACTCCTTTTTTAATAAATTATTCATTTGGTTT